ATGGCTGATATGGGTGCTAGAGGGGCGACGCGTCGGTCTGGTTTATTGCACCGCAACAGTTGACGTTTATGGTCGACATGGCGCAGCGCGGCTTTTACTTTTTAGCGTAATTTTAAACTGATATGTGCCTTCGCCTCCCCACACCATCCTATGCAATGTCAAGCCCTGGTACAATCGCACAACACTGCGTATGAGTAATAACAATGCTCATAATTGTCAACTGGCGTGTAGGTGCAAGCCATTTACCCTCCGCTACCATTTTGTAAACCAAAACTGCTATTGCGGTTACATACTTCTCACGAACATGATATGCTGCTCCTGCATATAATATATACATACACTTGTATGTATGTGAATGAATGTGTTGCTACACAGTACAAAAACGTTTGAGCATGCCCTTAAATCTTAAAGAAAAACAATCGACATTTTTGTGAATACTTTAGATATAAATCAATTAGAATGATTCAGTTCCAGTCTAGTTTTCACATTGTGTGGAATTGTTGTATTACTTATTTTATAATACAAATATTTAATAAACAGATCTAATTTATGTGCAAATTATTTTCATGTCTGACCCTTTCTTATGTTAAGTTATTTAATAATAAACTAGTACTAATGATTTTCAAGTACCTTTTCTAAATGAAAGTAATAGTTTACATTTACATTACATTTACATTACATTTACATTTCTCTGTAAAATATTGAAGAGACAGCTAAACTGAAATATCATAAAGAGTCGAATATATTTTTACTCAGAACCGGGAATGTTGCGTACAATTACGGCAAATATTTTTGCAGTGCATTTAATGTCGGCATGTGCATCTGTGTAATATTCATGAAAAATTCATAGAATAGCATTTGTAGCGAAAATTGAAATACAAAGCACCAGCGCATAAATCTAAATGCTAAAACGCTTAGAACGAAATTAATTTAAATAACAGCAACGTGCAGAATTAAACCCAAACATTTGTACGATTATCCACATATGTATAGTACAAGTATATATAAATACGTTTGTACTGTATACGAGTATGCGTCTTGTGTCGTCTAGACGTTAATTTTGTTACCACATGCTATATTTTTCCGACTCATAATTCATTTCGTTTTGACTGCGAAATTGCGTCGCATATTAGCGCATACTTTTCGACATTTCGCACATTTTCATTTTTCATTTTTGCGGGCGCTTACAAATTACACGCAACTTTCCATGCAACATAAATACATTCGCGTGAAAATTGCGCGTATTATGCGGAATAGCACATATAAAGCATACATATACAGAAGAGCACATAAACAGCAACAACAGAAAAGCACACCTAACTCTTGTGTGCTTCAATTCGGAGCAATTTTTTAACATTTTAACCCTTTTTGCTTCGCCATTGTGTATCTGTGTAGGTATGTGTGGATGTGTGGCGGTCGCACATTATAAAAAATGCTTAAAGCAGAAAATTGGATTTTTCATCTTGAATGCTGGTAACCGAAAAAAAAAATAAAACAAAATACGGAAACAAAAGGCAAGAACAAACAAAGCTTGCGCACACGCGACGACAACCGACCGTGGTAATAACAGTAAAGCCAATAACAAAAATAATAAGCATTAAACATTACAAAAATAATAACAACAGCAACAGCACCTACAACAACAAGAAGAAGAACAACAACAAGTGCCAAGTGGCTGGGGCAGCTATGGCGAAAAATGTTAGATATGCTGACAAAGGTAATGCAATAAATACGAAATGATGCTTCGCCATGCTGTTATTGTTTGCTGTAACAGTGTTGGCGTTGTTGTTGCTATTGTTGTTGTTGTTGTTGAAGCCGTAGCTGTTAGTGTTAACTTTAGCATACTTTCCGGCTGTCGTTTTATTTTCCCTTTTGCGTGCGCATTGGCCATAGTATACAAGTAGTATTGTAGTTGTTGGCTTGGTACTTTGTATACATACTTATGTATTTCTGTGGGTGTAGGCAAAAAAGTTGACTTTAATTTCATTTTGCCATTGTTATTTATTTAACATTAGTTTTTATTTTATGACCTATAAAAGTTCGTTTCAGTTATGGGCGCAACTTAAGTGCATTTTTTAAGAGTTAGCATAAATTGGTTCGCATTTTGTTCCATATTTTCTGTACGTTTTATAAAAAACAAATAAATACTGAATTTAACTTGAAAGCATCTTTTCTTTTTGGTAGAATGGTGCAACAAAATAAATCATTTTGTTAAATTTTTTACTTGCAGTAAAAAGATCCAACTGACAGAAAAACATGGAGCTTAGTAATTATTTTAAGTTTTCCGACTTAAAATGCTTTGATTACTTTTATGTATTCATTTTAGTAAATATTGACTGTATTTTAAATTCAAATAATCAATCAAATGTGTATCTATATATTGACAGTTTGATCTAGAATTGACATAAAAGCACAGCAAATGCTTAATTATTGCGGTAGTCTTAAATATAATTATAGTTGCTTTGAAAATCATCTTCATTCTAGTTAAAACAGGAATACCAATTTTGAAAGGAAACCCAAATCCGTAGTCATGCCAACGCACTTGAATATATGAATCTCATCTATTAAGCCATTAAAAAAAAGCCTTGCGAGCGCAACCCAAAATATAATTATATGAACAAATAAAATATAAATTTAAGAACATAGCCAAGTATTATTTTAAAGTTTTACTGTTTTCTATAAATAAAAATTTGTAAGATAAAGGATATTGCGTTCTTACGTTATATGCCAGTCGATTTTCTGAAAGTATGTATTTTTTATAATGGTTGGTTAATAGTTTCATTCATATTTACAAGTAAATGACTCTAGATATTTCTGAATATATGTTTTTATGTCAATCTATTTACGCAAAATATTTAAATTACTTTCGAAGCAAAGTTATTTTTAGCTAGTATTTAATTTCCAATTTCTCAGTAGCACAAATGTTTTTGTCTTCGACCAACTTCAAATTTATTTCTAGTTGCAACAGAAACTCAAAAGTTTTCAGTAGTCTCTATTCACTCTCTAACGAATACATAATCCAAAGAGCCAACTCCACTAATCCGGTTCAGGAGCAATTTTGCTATATAATTCAAAGTAAATTTGTACCAAAAAACTATCTTTTTTGTTGCCAAAAATCCGAAATGGCATCAGCACATGTTAGTATAGCATGATACTAGTGATACAAAGTACGTCCACTGGCACCCATTTTATTGTGTGTTACATACAAGTATTAGCTTTAAAATAATCCACACAACCGCACATAACAGCTTAGTTATTGGCCACATACGCACACACTCACAGATACATAATACACAGACGCATTAATAGAGAGATAAACAGACAGTTGGAAACAGTTGCCTGAATGCGCTGTTGTTGCAATCGTTCTAGTTGCTGCTGCTACTGTTTTTTTGTGTATGCTATTGCAACAGACGAAATGGTGATGCATATTAGCCAAGCCGAAACGAGCAGCGAACCAAGTGAATGGCTGGCTGTTTGAACGTCTGACTGTTTGGTTGCCGCAACCCCAGATACGGCCTTTAATGTTCTTCAGTCGCAGCACAAAAGTTGAACGTGGCCAGTGAGTTGAGCTTTTGGTTTTTCAGCCCCTCCACCTTGTTTCTCCGCTGGATAGCTAGCGCACACACTTGCCATGTGATGGCCATTATCAGCTTCATTATGTGGCATTAACAGCTAAGCGGCCAATACTAAGAGCACTCTCGCTCCCATACTACATATATACGCGAACGTGCATTAAAGTTCCACAGCTGCTTAAAAGTTGCATGCAATTTATTTGCGGTCAGTCATACAAATTCCAGAGCTCACGTTTATACTATATGTGCGTACGCATTTATGAATAAATTCCCCTTGATTCATGTTATTAACATACGTAAATAAAGACGGTCATACTCATTAAGTCACAAATTTTAATGCAAGAGGGGAAACACCTTTCACATAATTTCCCACAATTCCCCTTGTAATTAAAATATTTTACAGGTCGTGTGAAAATGAGGAAACGTGAAATTTGTTATCTGCACCATCATGTCTGCTATCAATCAAGTGCCTGAACTAAACAATCAGGTACCATTCGTCACCGTATTCGAATTATTATAGCTATTGTCGGGAATCATGTGAAATTTACAATTATATACATAAGTAATGTGACCAGATGGATTGGCTCATATGATCCTAGTAAAGTGGAGCTAGCTGTTTATCACCAGAAGCGGCAATTTTTCCGGTGATAACTGGCCTGTATATATAAAACTGCATGCACATTTTCATATCAGTTTAATCAATTGAACCCATCCGTGTAAACGTTAACAGTTAACGAACAGAAGTAGCATAAAAACATGTAAGTAATAAGTAATAATAGTATAAAGTTCATAACTTTAATTCAAATCCAATTGTGAAGTAAATAAAACAAACTTCTGAAGTAATCAGTTCTTAACCTTTAACAATAGATTCAATACAAATGGTATACAAATTTTCAAAAATATATTTAGTTAGAATACAGTGAACAATTTAATAAGTTAAGTAGAATTCTTTGAATTCACTATAAATTGCATTGAAATATGATTTTCAAAACTATTTGAAGCATTCTTTTAAGCAAGTACAAGTCAATTACTCACTAATTAACTGCCATCAAATAATTTGAGTTAATAATTTTAAAGTATTTGTAGACTTTGCCTATAAGATACTTACGAGTTTAAGCACCTATGGGTATTGTTTATCTTACAAACCGGTCAACTCAAAGGCAATAAGTGGAACTAATCACTGGCTATTTCCAATTCCTGCAGCACGGTTATAAGTCGATTAATGAAAGTGCAATTTTACGGTCTCGAAAGGCACGTGACTTCTTTAAAAAGCAAAAAAAAAAAAAAAAAAAACTTGAACGCTATTACATTGCCACCACACACGCCCACACTGGCTGATACAAAGCACTGATAAAAAAAAAAAGCACTTGTTACTTTATCACTTAATAAATTAAAAACTAACGTAGTCGTACGTTTAAATTGGAGGACATGTTTCGAAGCGAGCCAATGAGTCTTTGTCAGCTTCTCATACCATTTGAAGCAATCTATACCACGATAGCCGAGCTGGGTGAGAGTGGCTGTATGCAGTTTACAGATGTGAGTAGAATTACCTTCATTTATTCCTCGATATGACTGATATTATGACATTATTCATATTTATTTATTGATAATGCAGCTCGATTTATTAACAATTATTATCCTATGCAGCTTAATACAAATTTGCATATCACGCAACGCAGCTTCTTCAACGAAGTTCTACGGTGTGATGAACTACAACGTCGACTCAACTATATAGCTCAGCAGATAACTAAAGCTGAGTTGCAGCTTCCGGAAGCGCCCGAAGACGATGATGACGGTTACAATGAGCCAGCAGCACCAAATGCACGACAGATAAACGAAATGGAAGCACAACTCGAGCAAGTGGAACTCGAATTGCAAGAGCTCTCCCGCAATGGAGCCGACATCAAGCGCAATTACCAAGAACTAAATGAACACAAGACGGTACTGGAGCAGCTCGAGAATTTTTTTGTTGAACGCGCCAGCCTAAACGAAGTCGAGAAGTACCTTTACTACGTAACGGGAGTTATGCCTTTGGAGCACTACTTCAGCTTGGAGCGCATGATTTGGCGCGTGACCATGGGCAATGTGTTTTTCAGGCGCACGGATGTGATGGAAGAGATTTCAGATAATAATAAACAATCCAACCCACGAGCAGTATTCGTAGCCTTCTTTCATGGCGAGCAGTTGAAGGAGCGCGTTTTCAAAATATGCTCCGGTTATCATGTAGTCAATCATCCATGTCCTTTGGACGCCAACGAACGCGCTCAGCTACTAACAGAGATCAAGGTGCGTATGGCGGATATGCAGCTGGTACTAAGCCAAACGGATGATCATCGCAATGGCGTCTTGCGACGAGCAGCTCTCTACATGCACAACTGGCGCACACAACTGATCAAAATGCAATCCATTTATCATACGATGAACAACTTCAGTATGGACGTAAGCAAGAAATGCCTGGTGGGTGAGGGCTGGACACCCTCAAGCGACTTGGAGCAGCTGAAGGCTGCCTTGCAACGTGGCACACAGAAGGCAGAGAGTTCAACACCAACCATTTTTCAAGTTGTCCAGCCCAGCGTGGAGCAAGTGGCCCCCACCTACAATCGGACTAATCGTTTCACTCAGGGTTTTCAGAACATAACTGATGCCTATGGTGTAGCCAACTATGGCGAGGTGAATCCCTCACTCTACTCGCTCATCACATTTCCTTTCCTGTTCGGCTGCATGTACGGGGATATTGGACATGGTTTCATTTTGCTACTCTTTGCCACCTGGATGGTGTGGAATGAACGAAAACTTGCAAAAATAAAGGAAGAAATCTTCAGCATATTCTTTAGCGGTCGCTACATTATACTGCTCATGGGATTATTCTCTATCTACGCAGGCCTCATCTATAACGATGTCTTCAGCAAGTCTATAAATCTCTTTGGCTCTGGCTGGCTCATCCAATACAACACCAGCACAGTGCTGGGCAACACTGAACTGCAGCTAAGCCCCGCTACTAAGGAGCATACCTATGCAATGGGATTAGACCCTGTCTGGCAATTCGCCGAAAATCAGATTGTTTTTCTGAACTCCTACAAAATGAAGCTATCAATTATATTGGGAGTAGCTCACATGTTGCTTGGTATCTGCATGTCTGTCGTAAACTTTGTCCATTTGAAGAAGAAGTTGCACATTTTGTTCGATTTTGTGCCGCAACTTATATTTCTACTTTTTCTCTTTGGCTATCTGGTATTTATGATGTTTTTCAAATGGATCAAATATACTGACAAATCGGACGAATTAGCCCTAAAGCCCGGTTGTGCACCCTCTATTTTGATCATCTTTATTAACATGGTGCTCTTTGGGCACACAGCACCGCTTCCTGGCTGTGACGAGCACATGTTCAAGGGACAATATGAGTTACAAATAGTACTCTTGGTCATGGCGTTACTCTGCATCCCCTGGATGCTATTCGCTAGGCCACTGTACATTCGACATCAAAGAAGGCACGGCACCGTCAGCTCTGACGAACCATTTGGCGAGATACTTATAGCACAAACCATACACACCATCGAGTTTGTGCTGAGCACGGTTTCTCATACTGCCTCCTATTTGCGCATCTGGGCCCTGTCGCTGGCTCATTCACGTGAGTAGAATCAACAAATATCTTAGCTCTTCCTGATCTTATCAAGTCTTCTCTTTTTACGCACTATTAGAACTCTCGGACGTATTGTGGAAGAAGATGCTCAATTTCGGATTTATATTGCCCCTCGGCTACTTCAATGTCATTGCCATTTTTATACTTTTTCCTGTTTGGGCTGTGCTTACGTTGGGCATTCTGGTAGTAATTGAAGGACTTTCTGCTTTTCTTCACACTATGCGTTTGCATTGGTAAGTACAAGGAGTGATTTAAACAACATCTTCAATTAAAAACCAGCCTTATGGTGATAAACTTAATTTTTGACTATTTTATACGAGTAATCTTATACTTCTTTAAGCTTAAAATTGCTTCTATGATTAGAGATATCTGCACTTTAAAAATTCTCTTCAATTCGCAAGACAAATTTTCAATTATATTTAAAATCTTATCATTATATTCTTGTTTTTAAAGCAATTTTTTTAATTTCGAACTATATTTCCTTTTTTACAGGGTCGAGTTCATGAGCAAGTTCTATAAAGGCGAAGGCTATATCTACCAACCATTCGCTTTTAAGGTTCTTCTGCAAACAAAAGTGGAGTAGAATTACATACTATAGATTTAATTATACAATTATATGTAGATATGGACTCATTAATGGTATTCATCTTGTTATAGCTGTCACACACTATTTTGAAAACTCCCCTAAAAATAAAACCCAAATGTGATTTAGCAACTCGTGCTTATGCTCAATCATCGATGCAATTGATATGCGACGAGTGTTCAAGTGTTGTCATATTTTTCCAGTTATGTGTTGATTACCGTTACCGATTTTGTGGAGTGTGTGGAGTGTAGTACATGCGATAAGCTTGCCATGTCTATCAGAGGTGTCTGCTTATTTGGCAACACGCAGCAATTGCGTCTGTTGTTGCGCTGATAAAATGTCGCACAGATTATAGGTAGTGTGTTTGTATGGTCGCGACATATATATGTGTAAGTGTGTTTGTGACAAGTTTAGATTAGCTTCAGTTTAATTGGCCAAAGCTACAATGCCTATCTGCGCTAAGGCGTTCGCACAGTACGCCCTGCAACGTCGAGTAGGCAGGTTCGAAAATCGCGTAAACCAAACCATAAATTGGCATTGTGTAAGTGAGAAATTAAGAATTGTCCTTACCGAGAAAAGACACCGTCTCTAAGGTGCTTTGTCTTCAAGTGAAAATAAAATTAATAACAATATGTCTGATGCCAACTAAATAATTCCTAATACTAAATCCAATTAGGAAAAAACAACTGACTTGCACTTATCAGTGCCTTTAAGGCCAACCAAGTGGTTATCAATATGTTTCTTGACATGTGAGAGATAAGCCGCTAACATGCCATAAATGATATAAATTAAATATTGTGCACGAGTTTATCACAACACAATGGTGTAGAATAGCTGCAATGCTTCCGCTTATCGTCTTACAATGTAAAGGAAAATAAAAAGCCTACATGGCGATGAAAACCATGCCACATCTACAGAAAACACACCCCTCCAAGCACATGGAGACTCACGATTGCTCACCTCAATAGGCAATTATTCACACCCATATTCATGACCATTAATTTAATCTTAATAGTGCAAATTTTGCGATAACCTATCTTAATTGTTTTTTCAAAAATTGCCTTCGTTACAAACCAATTTTAATTTGCTAACTTAACTGTCAATAACTTCATATTAACTGTGCTCTGACGTCAGAGCACGTGATGGATCATGTGCAAACGCCTTCGATAAGATTTTTATAGCTTTTTAATGGATTTTTTTTATAAACAAAGCACTGAGGAGGTTAATAAGCGAATGGGTGAACATTGCATTAGTTTAAAGTTTTATGTGTCTCAAAAAAAAATACATTATTTTGCTTGGATATCATAGTTAATTGTTCAACGAATCCGCAATGGTTGTAAAGTTTTCATTTATTTTAAACATTAGCTTATGTATAACAATGTTATAATATTGATCCTGAAAATGTTTATACAATTTATATTTGAATATATACCAAATATAAAGTGACTCTCAAAACATGCCCGTATACAGAAAAAAGGCAGAATTTTGACCTGTGAAAGGTGAAGCGCTTGAATCTCAAAATATTATCTTTTCTTTCGATGCCATATCTCGCTATTTGAAATTTTGTACAACTCCCGTAACTCTTAGAAGTAGATGAATATTTGCCAAGTTTCATCGCAATAGGTTAGCTGTGATAGAAGTTGATGCCAAAAATTAAATCTCTGCCCATGCTTTTCCTGCTGCTCTTATTCTGCTTTGGATCAGCCTGTAAGATACCTGATGTATTAGTTGTGTTATTGTTTGTCATTATAATTATAAAGTTAAAAATTTGTAGTGGACCTTAAACAGTTCAGTGTTTCTTCTTAATAAAGTGTTTTTTTTACTGTTTCATAAATATTTTTAAATTGTACGATTTTCCATTGCAAATTCAATAAAAATGACTCCAAATTAATCAAACGAATAGAATTAATATTACGATTTACGCTTAAATAGAATATTCGGTGCTATTGTTTATCGTTCTTCTAAGATAATACATTTTCAAAAGAAAACGAAATATAAGTAGAGAAGCATTCTAGAATGCATATTTACTTTTCTGTTTAGCAGATGATAAGAAAACATCTTTGCAAAACAAAAATAATATGCCAACTAAAAAAAAAGTGAACTATCTTCAAACAATTGTTTGCATTTACTCACTGAGAATGTTGATTCAAAAACTATTAGATTTGGTTGGACATTATTTGTTTCATTAGCACATGATGAAAATAAAATGTTAAACACTGTAAAAAAAAGTTGACTTATAATAAAACGTAAAACGATATGCCAAGTATATCTTACATCCACAATGCTTTGTTCAAGCTGCAATGTACAATCTGTCATTAAGCGGATCTTTCATCTTTCTTCATTACTTACTATAACATAAAGAGATATGGTTATAAAAGACAATTGCCGCGCAATGAAACTAAATAAGCTAATAAGTTGCCTTCGTTCGCGTTGAAGCTTCACGTTGTTTATTCCAATCAAGAAATCATTTTTTTGGGTTTGCTCATTTGTGATCAGGTTCACTTCTCACGAATGGTGCAATACCATCAGATATAACAACAAAGTCGTCAATATTTAACTCCATATCAATATTTTGTAAACATACATTTTTTAAATTTCCGGACCTTTTATTGTAAAAGTGATGTGCACGCTCATGTGGAAAAATTATATTGAATTGCTTCCATACTAGACAAGGTTCATTATCATTTACGTCACTACATTAATAATTAATGCTGATTGCTTCCAAAACTCCTCATTTGCAATTACCGATGACGCCACCATAATCGGTACAAAAAAGAGTAGTTTATCAGTCTCCGTCCTATAAAGCAAATGGCAATCCGAAATAGGCAATTAGATCGATTTTACTGCAAATCATGCGTCATAAAATCACGGCAGATAATTGAGTGTGCCATAAATATCTTTAATCTCTAAATACCAAAACAGCTATCAGACGATTTTAATTGTCAAGGCCAAGCCAGAAAATGAACCGCGGCTCAAGGCACCACAAAGTGATACTTAAGCCCCTTGCTAAATATGGGGCATACAATTTTAGGCACTGGGGCTAATGCATAAGCCACATGATTGCCTGATAATTATAAATAATAATAATTTCAAATTCTGCCACTTCAGATAAATAGGTTCGAGGAGACAAAACCCTAACAGCTATCAGAACGACTGTGCTATCTTATCAATTTTTTTGAAATGTTTGATTGACTGATCGTTGGACACACAGTCTGTAAACAGTGGTGTGACGATAGCGAATAAAGCAAATATAAATAGCAATTAAGAATGTGTAACCATTTGGTCAATACGCTTAACACAACAATATTTATCACAGTTGATTAGTAAGCACAGTTTCATAAGCAAGAATGTAAAAAGCTTGGCAGACCCCACAAAGCAAATATATTCTGGATTAGCATGACAAGACGAGTCGATCTATATCTGTCTGTCTGTACGTCCATCCGTCCTTCCGTATGAACACCTGGATCTCAGAGACTATAAGAGCTAGAGACACCAAATTACGCACAAAGATGCCTTATGTGTGTTCGCTATACGAGTTTGTTTTATTTTTTCGTAATATATAACCAGATATGAGTATATGCTCTATATCTAGAAAAACTCTGAGCCCCACCCTTTTTATATATGTTAAAAAAAAGTTGATATCTGCAATTGGGGCCCTAGCTTAGATTAAGAAGTGATCAACATGACCGGCCATAAATAAAGGTTTTACAATGGACATCACTATGGTTTGTTAAATCGTTAAAAGTTACTCCATCGAAATATTTTATTGGCTGATATATTGTTAGATTTTAATGGGCTCTACTTTAGGGTTCTTTATTAGCCGTCGAAACATTACTGCTAAAAGTACTTTTTAATATTTTTATAACTAACTAACTACTAATTTTTTCAATATTTCAGAGCACGTATTTTCATCACATCAACGCACCTACCCACAACGTTCATCATGGGTGACATGTTTCGTAGCGAGAAAATGGCGCTCTGCCAGTTGTATATACAACCGGAGGCAGCCTATGTTTCCATTGCCGAGCTTGGCAACCTCGGTTGCGTTCAGTTCCGTGATCTGAATGAGCATGTTAATGCCTTTCATCGGAAGTATGTGAACGAAGTTCGACGCTGCGATGACATGGAGCGAAGGATACGCTATATTGAGAATGAGCTGCGAAAGGATGATGTGAAACCACCAAAGATGACCGAGGAACAGGAACCGGGTGCACCCAATCCCCGCGAGATTATCGACTTGGAGGCTCAGCTGGAGAAAACGGAAAACGAGCTACGCGAACTGGCCAGCAATGGTGCCAGTTTGAATGCCAATTATAGACATATGCAGGAGCTGAAGAACGTACTCCAGAATACAGAGGGTTTCTTTTCCAGCCAGGAGGTTATGAATCTGGATAGTAATCGCTATATAGACCCACTAGATCCGGTTATGCAACAACGCGGTCAATTGGCTTTTGTGGCGGGAGTCATCAAACTGGAGCGCTTCTTCTCCTTCGAACGTATGCTATGGCGCATATCGCGCGGCAACATCTTCTTGAAACGCAGCGATATTAGTGGAATGTGTGAGGATGAGGAGACGGGCCAGCAGGTGCTGAAGACCGTCTTTGTGGCCTTCTTTCAGGGCGATGAGCTTAAGCAGCGCATCAAGAAAGTGTGCGCAGGCTATCATGCCTCCGTCTATCCCTGTCCAAGTTCGCATGAGGAGCGCACGCTCATGATTAGGGATGTCAATACTCGCCTGGAGGACTTGAAGATGGTGATCAATCAGAGTGCGGACCATCGCAGTCGTGTTCTACTCTCTGCATCAAAGCATGTTTCAGCCTGGGCCATTATGGTACGAAAAATGAAGGCTATCTATCACATACTCAACTATTTCAATCCCGACGTGACGGGCAAATGTCTGATTGGTGAGGGCTGGGTTCCCAGTCGTGATATTTTTCTTGTGCAGAATGCGCTATCGAGTGCCTCAAAGCAAGCCGAGAGCACAATACCAGCCTTCATGAATGTCATACAGACCAATGAGATGCCTCCGACTTACACACGCACAAACAAATTTACCCAAGGCTTCCAGAACCTAATCGATGCTTATGGCATGGCATCATATCGTGAGGTGAATCCAGCCCTATATACCATCATAAGTTTCCCTTTTCTTTTCGCCGTTATGTTCGGCGATATGGGTCATGCTGTAATATTGCTAGTATTTGCACTGTGGATGATCATTAAGGAGCAAAAACTGGCCACCATTAAGGAGGAGATTTTCAGCATATTCTTTGGTGGTCGCTACATTATCCTTTTAATGGGCTTATTCTCACTCTATACGGGCTTCATCTATAATGATGTGTTTAGTAAATCCATGAACATATTTGGCTCAGGCTGGATAATTCCCTACGACAATGAGACCATGGAAGATCCCACAGTGAAAATGTTACAGTTGCGTCCCAAATATGCCAGTGTCAAGACATACCCAATGGGTATGGATCCTATATGGCAAATGGCTGACAACAAGATCGTATTCCTTAACACATTCAAAATGAAATTATCTATCATTGTTGGAGTGATTCACATGATCTTCGGCGTTTGCATGTCGGTTGTGAATTTCATACACTTCCGCAAGTACATGAGTATTATTTTGGAGTTCTTTCCCCAAATCCTGTTTCTAGTGCTGCTCTTCGGATACATGGTGTTCATGATGTTCTTCAAATGGGTTGTCTACAAAGATGACACTACGGATCAGGCACTAACGCCAGGCTGTGCTCCTTCTATTCTTATTCTCTTTATCAACATGATGCTGTTTGGACATCAAGAGCCACTCGCAGGCTGCAAGGAATATATGTTCGAAGGTCAGGAATCGTTGCAGACCGTATTCGTGCTTGCGGCCCTGGTATGCATTCCGTGGATGTTGCTTGGCAAGCCGATCTACATCATGATGACAAGACCCAAGCACGTAGCAGAACCTGGCAAGCCTGCAGTAAGCAGTGGAGGGGGCGGGGGTCATGGCGGCCATGGCTCAGAAGATGAGCCCATGGGCGAGATTTTCGTACAACAAGCCATACACACAATTGAATATGTACTCAGTACAATTTCGCATACGGCCTCCTATTTGCGTCTGTGGGCCCTTTCTTTGGCGCATGCACGTAAGTATAAAATGAAATCTAAGCTACAAATTAGGACAATATTCTAAAAGTATAAACCTAAGCGTAATCTGTTTGTCTCCATTGGGCTAGAGAAAGATCATATTAAATATGAATACAAGTATATCCTACAATCTTCTCGCATTCCCCAAAATTTTGGCGTCCCCGGACAAATCTATGGCAAAACAGACTGTTTAAGATAAAGACTAAATAACATCTTCAAATCTATTTGCCATAGACTGTTTTTGATAAATTGTTTTCAAAATATGGTCATATGCTAATTAATTATAGCAATTACTTAATAATTATTCTAAACATTGAACTTACTCCAACAAATTCTCTTGACCTCAAGCAAAAAAAAAAAAAAATTATACAAAAACTGTAATTATTTCATTCAATAGTTTAATTTACACAATGTTTGTAAAAATTGTAAACTTATACTCTGGCCAAATTTTTAAAAGTGTTTATTTCCAATCAAACAAAAATGATTCTTGTTAAGTACCATTTAAACTCTCTCACTAAATCTCGTGTATAATTATATTTGCAGAACTTTCTGAAGTGCTCTGGAATATGCTCTTCTCCATTGGATTTAAGTCCGAGGGCTTTACAGGCTGTATAGTTATTTACTTTTTATTCACGGCCTGGTCAGGACTTACGGTAGGAATTTTGGTACTCATCGAGGGTCTGTCAGCTTTCCTGCACACACTCCGATTGCATTGGTAAGATTTCACCTAACATTATAACTAGCAAAAAAAAAAACATATTGACATATTTGTTTACAGGGTCGAGTTCATGAGCAAGTTCTATGAGGGCGGAGGCTATGCCTTCGAGCCATTCTCCTTTAGGGTTATTCTGCAAGCATCGGAAGAATAATGAAGTTGCAGTACGCAATGAAGTAATTCGAGAATTATTTTCTTTTACGGTGTATTTGAAATAAATCCGCCTAATATGCATAATTTTTTATTTTTCTTTTCCGTCAACATTACAACTTTATTTGCTGTGATAGTTTAGTCCGACTAGACAAACAACACTCACATAAATGCATTGAAAAGGCAAAGCTATAAAAGGCAAATTGTAATATTCTTTATTTCGTCTCTATTCGTTCCAGCAAAAAGCTACATGTTTCTCATTAGAAGAAATGTCATATACTTAAATTATGTTGTCAGTTGAGCTGTCCATTGAGCATTGAGTTGTGGCACACTGATGCTATGCAATTTAAATAATAATAACACGACATCACATACGATTTTGTCGAGTATAAAGACTTCTTTATTTGGACCCACGTGTCCACATTTGTGTTTTGGCAAATTCCTTTCAGCTTTCGATGTACGAAAAATGTATGTAATATAATAGAAACTACAGAAAGACTTACTTACAATCAACAACGAGCAGAAGAATGAAAACTATATAATAAAGCTATGCAATGAAGTTTTAGTTAATTTTAATGCATAATTTTCGTTGTTAAGACTATAAATCTTAATAATCTTAATTTATTTATTTCGTTAGAACTAATGATTGCTTTTGGAAAAAGTTATTACATGAAAATGCTCTTGCATATATACTTCTATTTAGAAAAACTCCATTTGGATATAATTAATTATACTCTGTACATAAAATGTACAAGAGTATATTAGGTTTGCGGGAGCTGAAAATGTAACAGGCAGAAGGAGGCGTGCCAGACCCCACAAAGTATATATATTCTTGATCAGCATGACGAGACGAGTCGATCTAGCCCTGTCTGTCTGTCTGTCTGTCTGTCTGTTCGTCTGTCCGTATGAACACCTGGATCTCAGAGACTATAAGATCTAGAATAACCCAACTGGTACACATATTCTCCTGAGCCCGAGAAAGGACGAGTTTGTTCATTTTTTCCGATACACCCCCCACTCCCCCCAATTTGTGATTTTCTATAACTCCCGTAATTCTTAGAATTTAGAACTAAAATTTGGTAGACACATCCAGTTAGTGATTATATCTTATACCAAGATTCATTATGATCGGGTAATTAGAAAGAAAGTTATAGCCATATAACCAAGCCAATACACACATACACGCATACAAGTATGTACCTTTCGCCAACACGCAGAGACACGATTCTGATGTAAATGTAAATGTATGTATGCATGTATGGAATATTTTATATTTAATTTAGTTAATTAATTAAATTAATTTAATTACATTAATTAATTAATTGATTTAAATTTTTTTGTGGCGTGGTACAGAGTATTTAAGAGTTGAGCGTGCTCGATTTTAGCATTCCTTTCTTGTTTTAATTTCTATAATTATTGTAAACATATGTACAGAGTATTCCAAAGTCGGGACACCCGACTTTAGCTTTTTTACTTGTTTGATTATAAGATTGTAAAAACAGTGGTTTAACAACATTATTATTGTTCAGGAAGACACCTACTATATGTGACAAAAAATACTATGTTAAAAGTTGTTCATTGGCATTCAATGATACGTAGGGTTAAACTGCGACCGGTTAATGCCTTAACACATGCACTTACCTTTATATTAAGTTATTAATTTTTTTATTACGACGAAATTCCTAAATGAACGAATTGAATATGATGGGCTCATATTTAAATGCGTATATCGCTAAAATATGCCCAATTATTAAATACTCTGTACCCAGCATTTTCGCTGCCACAGCCAATCAACGTTTCTGTATATCATATACTCTTAAATATAAGGAACATATTTTCTTGAAATTTCAGGATATCACGATACACAAATTTATACAATTTTCTGTTTTCTGTTTAACAAAAAAGGTTTTCTTCTAAGACTTCTTTCTACGCTAATCGGTTGTATGGTAGAGATTATAGAATATTTATGCTATATATAGTTTCTAGCTTAGTGTCCCCTAGTTCAAAAGACATCGGTATCCGTACGGACAGTAAGACGGTCAGGCGAACATGCCTATATCAATTTGTCTTTTCATGCAGATTATTCATACAAATATACCTATTAAATAAAGGTCTGCCTGCTACACATTTTGACATTTCTGCTGTCTCGTATACGCTTTTACCCTTCGAAAACTGGATATAAAGAGTTGGTTGAGTAAAAATGGATTGGCATCCTCAAGGAAAACATGAAACTTTAGGCTTACCCCTTCAAAGTTTGTAATTCAATTACATATTACTATAAATAGATAACATCAGAATTAAGGAAACCCCCCTCATCTGCGACCATATTAGGTCTATCTTGCGACGCGAGAAAATTGAAAAAGTTCTGCCCCAACTTATATTACTCACATGGTGTCGCAGTAACAACCAGCACACTCAAGCAATTACACTAATCTACATTGCCACTTTATATAAATTAAATCCGCATACAAGCACATTACACACATAAATACGGGCACAGCAGGTGGGCACAAGGAAGAACTGGGAAAAGGGAGGAGGTGGGAAAAATAGCGTAATACAAATGCGTTTTTCCGCTAAAATGAACACCTAAGGTGCGTGGCCAAACACTTCAACGTGCTACATAATTAAGAGGAGCCGCAGGTAATAAACGGCCAGGCAGTAAGGAAAATATCGTGAAAATAAGGCGAGAGACAAACTATAAAAAAATAAAAATAAATGCAGAATGACTGGAGGATACGGACACAAAAAAGTCAAATATCAACACATACTTGAGCACATAAAAGCGTTTTTATGGCAGGACACCTCGGTGTGTATGTATGTGTGTCTAAATAATAGCCATGGCGGCGCATTGTCCTTTTGCGCTCATAATTTCACATTTTGCGTGACCAACGTGTGCCTGAGCCACAACCAACTTATTTACGTATGTGTGTGTGTGTGAATGCTGAGGAAACATAATACGCTTGCCTGGCCAACTAAATTAGCTGTGACGACAACTCTGTCGTCGACAAAACAACCTACAAATGGCAGAGTCAGCGACATTGCCGCGGCTTAAGACAACGCGCATGTATGTACTTGTATATGGCGTATAGCGGGCGACTCCTTTTGGCCACGTTATCATTTATAATGAGTTAATTACATTTAATACGCATGTACAACGGCCTGTTGAACATGGCGCTCAATTAAATGTGACCCAGACACGAAACATAAAGCTGAACACAAACACCAACCAAGCACCACAACAATAAACGCACTCTGAGCTCGATAAGTAACTCAGTTTGTGTGTGTGTGTGCGAGTGTGCTTGCATGTGCGGTTGTAAGGGTGTGCGTTTATGCGTGTTATGGTAAAGCTTATAGGTGAGTGCACTAAATTGCTGTGTCGAGATTTGATGTCAAGTACATATTTAGTCCCTGATTACAGAGAAATACATGAATATTGCAGCTCCCTTTGACCTACTTTTAATGAAAAGAGCTTTTGATTCTGTGCCTCTCTAACAGTTTAAGATCTAACTTATGCTTAATAGTTAAGATATATGTATATATACAAGTATATATATATATATATATATATATATATATATATATATATATATATATATATATATATATGTTTATGCCAACACTAACCATTCAATTTAATATGCCTTTCTCTAACCAAAGCTGTCACTAACAAGCTCTTGTCTCAATAGAAATCGTAGAAAGAAATTCAAACATTTTTTTCATACAAAATTTTGCTAGAGCTTTTAGCATTGCCATAAGTTTTTAATTCATAACGCATAACGGATTTTTCTTAGTAAATAAATAGTAAAAACGTACCTGGCTCCTCTCTCAAATCCGCGAAATGTCGACAGATGACGATGATCATATCTATTCTACTCAAAATCTGGTCATTTCTTACAGGCATTAAGCATAGAAGTAAATACTTAGAGCACGCAGGATATATGCAAGTATTTATATAAAGAAAACAGAAAATAGAATTGAATATAAATCGTAGAAAGAAATTAAAAAATATTTTCATAAATCATTTTGCAAGAGCTTTCAGCATTTTCATGCTTTTTTAATGCATAAAGCATAACGGATTTTTCTCAGTAAATAAATAAATTTCTCAGTACCTGGCTTCCCTCTCAAATCCGCGAAATTCCGTCAAAATGTTGATTATTATATCTATTCTACTCAAGTGCTCACAATCTGGAATAATTTTACAAGCATAAAACAGAGAAGTAAATGCTTAGCGCACGCAACATATTTGCAGGCATGTATATAAAGAAAAGTTCACCAATAGTAAATTCTAAGAATTAAATGAAATGTTTCGTTTGTATTTTACATACGCCGTAAAGTATATTTTTATAATACAAATTTAGTATAATTTTAAACGCGAGCATAGTAGCATTTTTTATTAGAAGAAGCAAACATTACTTCAATGCATGAAAGTACTAAGTTATTGTTAGAAGGTATTAACAGAACATATTGTTTGCCACTTACATTGAGGTTTTCTTTTACCACTGAAATCTTCATCTGTCTAACTAGCTTTTTGTGGCCAGAAATTTTCGATTTATAGTATATAACCGATTTAGCACACAGTGAAACTCACCAGCAACCGTTTTAGCATTTGGCTGCCAGAGTTTGCACTGACAAGAAAGAAATGAAAGAAAATTGTTTGAAATCATTTATATATGTATTTCGTTTTGTTGGCAAAAATAAAAATTTGCTTTGCCTCCCGCCGAGCCGTGTCGCCTGCCACTGACAGCTGCAAAATTTGTGCGCCCTTGTTCATTTGGTTGGTCCATTCGTTTCATTTGTACAGATGCTCTACATACATACAAGTACATATACAATATGTATTATGTAGTATGTATGTATGTTTGTTTGTCGTTATGCCAAAAATTGAACACAAAGCAATTGCTATGCAACATTTGTGCAGACATGTGCGATCTGAAAAAAGTGAGACTACAAATAAAATTCTTGTACATGCCGTTGAATGGACATTTTCCTCTGCGACAGCAAACACAAAGGCATGGCAACATTGGACGGCCATTTTAGCGAAACATTTTTGTGTGTGTGTGTACGTGTGTGTTTATGTGAGCACGTTT